CCCACCCCAGCCACAGACACAGACCTACCTCACCCCCTCCCGCCACGACCTCCAAATAATGCGCGTTAGTCCCGTTAACATGTCTCAATTTTCTAGACAGCCTCACAAAACGATTTAAGTGCGAAACAATGTCTTTCGCATTCAGAGACCCGTTTTTATAAGGTGTTAAAAATCCTCTGCCCTTGATCTTCACGTTCCTCGTCGCATAGCCCTGGTTAGCCCTCGGAGCAGCCGTCGGGACGCGGCGGGGCGTGGGGCGTGGCGGGGCGTGGCGAGGCACGGCACGGCAAAGGTGTTTGAAGAACTCTGATTATCGGGAGAACGCATCCGCGCAGGGGTATAGCCCGCCATTCGGCTAAAAGTGTCTGCTCCGCATTAGCAAGGGCCAAAAAAAGCGCGGGGAGGAGGGGGGAGGGGGCGCTATAGAGCTTGTGCCTGGCGGGGACAAGCTGGGCGAGATGTGCGATGTGCGCTGCAGATACGGACGAGCAGCAGGGAGAGGGAGGGAGGTGGGAGGTGGGGGAGGGTGGTTGCTTGGGATGAAGCGAGACAGACAGAGAGAAGGGGTAACGAAACGAATGCAGCGCCAACATGACCCCTGAGCGCGTGCGGACAGCACCGGAGAGATCCGGGAGGCCATACCGCGGCGACCATAGCGTTCTCTCTCTGTCTCTCTCCCTCTCTCTCTCTCGCTCTTCCTCCAGCTGCTTCTGCGCGTTCGAATGCCACGGCTAACTCCCCACCCCGCGCTGCCTACCGATCCTCCGTAAGTGCCTTGTACGGCGCTGGCCGGCGCGGCGCCGTGGCCGTGCTTCGCCCGCGCCAACCCCGCTCCCGCTCCCCCGCCTCCCCGCCGGCTGATCCCGCGCCCACCGCCGCCGCCGCCGCCTGATCCTGATCCCGGCCCGGCCGGTCCCACCCACCAATTATTCCCTCCACGCCCAGCCCAGCGCCGGCCTGGCGCCTACATCGGACCCGCCGGCGGGGGACCAGGACCGCGATCACCATTGTGACCGGCCCGGAAGAGCTGCGTGAGCCGCGCGATCTGCGCAAAGAACGCCGGCCCCGCCTCGCCCCGCCCCGCCCTACGCAAACGAAACCACGCAAATGAACCACATGGATGACGCGGGGCTTTATAGCTTCGTCAACCTCCTCCTTCCCAGGAGGGCAGCCCCCGCCGCAGGCCAAGACAAAAACTCTGAAAGAGGTACTCCACTCGGGCAAAAAAGGCAGTGTTCACCCCGCACGAAACAAAAGAAATCGGGAAAAATCAGAGATGATCGTAAGAAAATTGAATGACAAACCAAAAACCGATTTTCAGGAAAATTTTCAGGAAAAAACAGAAAAATTTGTGAACGCTTGCAGTTTTTAGTAAAGGACCCCACGCCGACGCAGATGCCCCGCCGGCCGCGCAGCCGCCGCCGTCGGATCGCTATCTCGATATGAATGCGATCCGGTGGTGGCGAGGGCGCAAGGCACTGACCCCCGGCCGGCCGGCCCGCGTCTCCTCTTTGTAGTGCAGATTCCCCTCCGGACTCGGCCGCCCCAGCGTGCACTACAAAGAGAGCTGTGCAGTAAGATAGCGCAATTTATGATGGCACCTGTCTGGCACTGATTCTATGTGTGCACACGCATAAACATTCACACACACACACACACACACACACACATACGCGCGCGCGCACACACGCACGCACACACACATGCGATGTACAAAGGGGTAAAGAATCGTCGGACCAGACCGCCGGCGCGGAACAAGTCGGATCTGCGGCCGATTATCTGGACAAAGCGTCTGAAATAAGAGGTTTACTGCTCGTTGTGTGTGTGTGGGGGGGGTGCGCGCGCGCGCGTACGTGTGTGTTGCGTGGTGCAGTGTGTGCGTGCGCGCGCGTGCACTTTGCAGTGCCGTGCAGGACGTCCTGCTTCATCTCTCTGGGGCGCCTGCGGGCGCTGCGCGGGTTGCTGCTTATCCATACGAGCGCGCGCCGGCTCGCTTTGGCCTCCACAAGAAGAACCTCCACGGCCTCCAGGCGGATCAGCTTCCGTGCGGGGCGGGGGTATATAGAGAGGCGGGTACCCGCGGGCGGCCGGTAGCCGGCAGCGGCGGCGGCGGGCGGGGTTTGGTCTTATCTGGAGCTGCTCATCGCGGCTGTTGTCATGACGAGCACGGGCGTACCCTGCGGCGGGGCGGGGCGGGGCGGGGCGCCCGCGCGTAGGAGCCGCCCAGAGCCCAACGGGCTGCCCAACAAGCCTCCGGCACGGTCCGGTCCAGGTGGATCCGTTAAAAAGTGTGGTGGATCCAGCAGCTGGTCTAGGTCGCGCCCGCAGCGGTCGAGGGCCCCGGCGCCGGCGGCGCGGAGCAGCCCAGTCCCATCTCGATACCAGAGCAGGCTACGGGGGCCTCCAGGGAAGCGGGGCAGGGAGGGGGGGGGGGAAGACGCCAGCCGCTCGCGCGGGGAAGTTCCAGTAATCGTCTGCTTTTATTACATCAGCGAAGCACACGGGGCTTGCGAAAAATAGTCCGAAAATTAACGACGACGATGTGTTGCAGTGCAGTGAGAACGGAGGAGAGCACCGGAGTCGGCGGATAGACGATCGTAGTCGTGTACATCGCGGAAAGCAGTTCGGAATTGAATCGGGAATAATCTGTTGGCCCGACGGGGTGGGGTGGGGTGGCGATATCCGGTCCAGCCCCGCCCAGCTCAGCAACTGGACAGCCCGGCATTCAAACTGCTTTATTCTCCTGGAGGGATACATAAAAATAAAAAGAAAACAAGAACAAAAAGGAGAGGCGCGCGCGCAGAAAGGCATGCCGGGCTGGTCGTCGCCCAAGCCATTGTGGTGGAGCTGGCGGGGCCGGGCGCGGCCTGCCCGACCGAGGAAGCGACGCGGCCGTCGAGCCGCAGCAGGCTGCTGGCCGCAGGTGCACCACGGCGTGTCTTGCGGCGGCCGGGTGGTGCGGGACCGCGGGGACGCCCAGAGTCCGTCTGGCCAGAGCCCGCCGCCACCTCGCGGGCGGCGCGTGGCGGTGGCGCCCCAGGGGTGTTGCACTGCACCCGCCCCGCCGTCCCGCCGCGCCCGTCGCGCCCGCCGCGCCCGCCGCGCCCGTCGGCGCCTCCAGGACGCAGCATGACGATCCCACCCGGCCTTCACCTTTACCTGTTGAATGCAGCGCCTCGGCGGCGGCTGCGGCGCTGCAGACTTGGAATGTTCAGCGCCCACCCCACCACCGCGCCGCCCTGCATGCGGGAGCCCAGGATCCCCCGCCAGCCCGGCGGCGGCGGCGGCGGCGGCGCGGCGTGGGGATCGGACGGGATCGGACGGGATCGGACGGGATCGGCCGGCCGGGGTGGAGCCTCGCGAGCCAGAGCAGGGCGTGGCCGGTTCGGGCGTGGACAGGGGCGGCGCCAGCAGGCCGGGCGGCGGGGGAGTGAGGGGGAGGGGGGGAGGCCTCCAAGGCCACCCGGTCGCCGTCCTAGGTCGGGAGCACGTCGTCGCGGGCCCCGAGAGGCACTGCAGCGCCTGCGGTAGGCGAGCGGAGCGCGAGCACCGGGCGGGCAGTCGCCAGCCGGGGCTATATTTAGCAATCCAGAGCAGGCCCAGGACCACCTGATGACGCAGGTGGCGGGGCGGGCGGGGCGGGCGGTGCTAGTGCAGCCGGAGAGGGTATTGACCCCCCGCCCCGCCCGGCCCCTTCATGTCCAGCACCGTGGTGTGACCCCCGTCGCGCCCCCGGCGAGGAGAGAGAGGAAGGGAGAGAGGCAGTCCCAGCCCAGTCTCTCGCTCACTCGCACCCACCGCGATAGAGCGACCGCCGTATAATCAGATACAATCAGGGATGCGTCGCAATTACTGAGGTTGTCTCGAGCAGAAGAACGCTTTTACCACCGCTTGCATTGCGCTCCTTTTCTCCTTTTCTTTTTTCGAGGCTTTTCTTGCCCCCGCGCCTGATTGAGAGATGCTTTGTTTTATTCGGTGCTAACGCTGCGCGTGTGCTCTTGTTGTTGCAGATCGCCGTGGTGGTCCTCCTCTTCCTGGGCGGTGCCGCCGCGCTGCCGACGCCGAGAACGTCGGCCTGGAGGTCGCAGAGGTCGCCCAAACCCCAGTACGCGCACCCCCCAGAGTCGCAGCCGCAGTTCGCGCACCCCCCGGAGTCACAGCCACAGTACGCGCACCCCCCGGAGTCGCAGCCCCAGTTTGCGCATCCCCCGGAGTCGCAGCCTCAGTTCGCGCACCCCCCGGAGTCACAGCCACAGTACGCGCACCCCCTGGAGTCGCAACCCCAGTTCGCGCACCCCCCGGAGTCACAGCACCAGTTCGAGGTGGAGCGCCCCAGGTTCCAGCCTTCGCAGTCCTACCGCCGACCTCTGTACCGTCGCGGTGGGCCCGGTCAATTCAACCGGCCCCTCAAGCCGCGGCAGTTCGCCGACGAGCAGCAAGGCGTCCGGCACGCGTTCTTCAAGTCGTTCTACCCGGAGCCGACGACCGCCGGCGAGGTGGCCACCAGCACGACGAGCACCACCGCCGCGCCGACCACCTCAACGACCACCACCACCACCATGACGCCACCGCCGACCGACGTCCACGTCGTCGCCATGAGCGTGTCCACGTCGGTGAAGAAGGGCAGCGAGGACGTCCACGAGGGTGCCACCGTCGAGGAGCCCCCCGGCTCCGCCTCCGTCATCCACCCCGTGCTGCTGCCCCCCGTGAGCGGGCCCGCGCGCTTCCGGGCCGACTGGGAGGTGCGCGACGAGCAGACGTCCCCTCGGCCACCGGCGCCGCAGCCCCGCCACGCCCTGCCGCAGGTGTACGGCATGCCGGAGGAGAACTACGAGGTGGACGAAGCCCTGAGCGTGCTCTCCAACGGGCGCGCGCACGGCCGCCAGCCTACGGCCACCGCGCCGACCGCGGACAAGGTAACAGAGTCCTCCCCGCCGCCGTCGCCGTCCTCGTCCACGACGGCCGCGCAGCAGGACAAGGAGGACGGCGGCAAGCCGTCCGGGTACGTGGTGGAGGGCCGCAACTACCGGAAGTACCGCGTCGAGGAGAAGACCCCCGACGGCTTCATCGTCGGCGAGTACGGCGTCGTCTCCCACCAGGACGGCTCCCTCCGCGGCGTCCGCTACACCGCGGACAGCACCATCAACCCGAGGCTCATCTACGACGCCCTCGTCAAGTTCCTGTCTCTGTGAGCGAGGCCAAGTCGGTGCCGTTGTCGGCGTCCTCCCCCGCGTCCTCCGTGACCGTGCCGCCCCCGTGACGACTGCGGTGCCCACGGCCGGCTCCTGGAACGCGCCCATAAAGGAACTCGATATCTCGAAACTGAACGCACGAGCTCCCGCGCCGGAGCGGCTGGTCGCTCTGGAGTCCAGCGGCTCCGGGCGAGGGCGCGCGCGGGCGCAGGAGGCGCATTCCAGGAGCTCGCCTGCCCGCCTGGAGCCCGGCCTGGAGCCCGGCCATGCCTGGCTTCCTGGAGCGGGCAGCGGGCCCCACTTGTCCGGGGGCTCAGCGAGCGCATAATTATTTGTTCTTATTATTATAGTTAGTCGTAAAGCATAGTTATTAATATCGACGTTGCCATTTTGTCCGTAACTGTAGTGTATAGAGAAGCTCTCGGAGGCCCTGTCCTTGCAAGCCCCGCCCGCGCGGGTCCGCTCAATGCCTTCTGCACCGCTAATCATGTTCCTTCTCGCAATTGCTCGCCAAATTTCTTCTCTCTTTCTCTTTCCCTCTCTCGCTCGCTCGACCAGTACTACCTGAGGTTGCCTCTGCGCCCGTACACAACACGGCGAGGTACCGATCGCGCGAGGCGCACCGGCCGTTCGATCGTATCGCCTCGAATATCAACTGCCTTGATCAACAGCCTGCCAGGCGGCGGCGTGTGGCAGGGCGTGGCGGGGCGTGGCGGGGCGCGGCGTCGGCGCCGACCCTGACCGTCAGCCCGTCAGGTGTCGGAGAGAATACAGAGCACTCCCCTCCTTCTCTCTCTCTCTCTCGCTCTCTCGCCTACTCGATCGACACTCCGGCTACGCTACGCACTCCGCCCCGCCCCGCCCCGCCGCCAGACTGAACAGCTCTCATTTATAATTTGCCTCCGCCAGGCTGCGGCAGCCACTGCTTTGACACGGGCTGAAGGCGTGCGCAGGCCTCTGGCCGCGACTAGCTGTCCCCCCCCCCCCCCCCCCCCTCTCTCTACCTCTCACTCCCTGCCTCCCCTACGCCAACGTGCAGAGAGAGAGTGCAGTTTTTCGAACGAGCCTGCGATACGGTTTCGCGTGAACGTCTGTGATAAGGAGCTGCCCGCCTTTGTATCGGTTCCCCGCAGTGGTCTATCGCGCGCCGCTCTATTTGTGATTCCTCAGAACGCTAGAGTGAGTGTGTTTTCGCGAGTCTTTTTTCGCGCGAGACGTGTCAGTCGCGACTGTCGATGATGTTCGTATCGCCGCCGTCGTTTGTCTTTCCCCGCCCGCAGGGCTTTGCTTTGTTGTTTGTTTTTTTGTTGTGTGCGTGTTGTGTATTTTTTTCCACTTCTCTGATACGATATGTTGTAATGCTGTGACTGTGTTTCTTACTAGGCTGTGAATGAAAATCAGTGACATGATGTACTACTCTGCTAAAAAGTGGTGTATTTATTGAGGCGGCCGCGCTCCAGTGTAGTCCCCTCGAGCCGCCGTCGACTGTGTAGTGTTTGATTTTGATCAATCAATCAATTAATTAATTAATTATTAATGATTTTTTAAAAGTGCTATAATAAGTATTCGTCACGTTCGTCACTCGCTGCTGATGTGTGGCGGGGCGTGCGGGTGTCACCCTGTGACTATGTATGTGACTGTTGTGTATATATATCCCCAGTGATTTCCTTGCTCAATCTGTGTTTGTGTGTGTGCTGTTTGTGTACGAAGCGCTTACCTTCAGACGAGGGATGTGTTTTCCTTTTGATAATAAATAAATTATGAAGCAAACCCTTCTGTGCATTTTTTCGCCGCGTATCCCCGACGACACACCCGACGGTCAGACACGACAGCGAGGCGGCCGCTCGGCAGCCGCGCGCGGTAGGCAACCCAACCTGCGGGGAGGCGATGCGGGTGCGGACTCTGCTCCGAGCTCCAGGGTTCTCCCGATTGTCTCCACGGTCTGCAACTGTGAGCTTCGTTACTCTACGTGGACGACTTCCCAATGAGTGAACAAGACACACATACACACAACGTCACGATGAGGTCGTATTGAGGCAGATAAGGTCAAAACCAAAGGAAGTATTTCAGCTGAAGGCGAATCACGGCGATACCGTTTCCAAGACTTTAATATCACGTGTAGGCCTATATTCATGACGTTTTTGTCCGTGTGGTTCGGGTCTTTGGCTTTGGCCGCCCTCCAAATATAGAAACGGAATCGGAACGACGTCGAAACGCTACAATCGTTACGATGTCGTTTTCGGCACGATTGTGACGATCGTTTCGCGCTGGGCGCGGGCGCGGATGAGCTCCACGTTGAACTGGCCACAGAGGTGTTTCCGGCCATCCTGGTCGTTCAACCTCACGGAGCCAGGTGCTGCCCTCCAACGCCGTGAATATCATCTTGATGTGCATGTCTGCATGTCTGCATGTCTGTCTGTCTGTCTGTCTGTCTGTCTGTCTGTCTGTCTGTCTGTCTGTCTGTCTGTCTGTCTGTCTGTCTGT